GCTGTTGCCCAATGTGTGATATCCTTTACAACCATGACCATGAATTTGGACTGTCGGGAACACAGTATTAGGATTGGAGTGTTTTGTAGGGCTTTCCATAGGCACCAAAACATTTTCACACAGTCCATGATTTATTTTCTAGCTCCTGATAATCACTCTCATGTCTGGCCTGGTGATTGTTGTTGGGGACAGAATGTGGAGGCAAAACTAAAATGTTACTGTCACCAACAGAATAGGGGGTGTTTGGAAATCTCCCAATAGGCATATCTGTTCTAGTGACAGCTGTGCAAGGTGGAACTTAGTCTGACCTTGGGTCAATTTCCCCTCACTTCCTGTTGTGTCTTTACATCAAGAAATAAAAGGGAAATCTCTCCAGTAGAGATATGTGGCTTGTTTCCTTCTGAATCGAAATTTTGACACATTTGGATGTATTTGAATTCAGAATTACAATAGTAATGCATTTAAACTATCCAAAATAACAACATGAAATTTGACTGAAACTCAAAATGATTCAAATTCGAAAACAATAATAGAATAGAATAGCAAATAAAAGAATAGAATACAAAAGAATAGAGGAAAGAAGAACAGAATAGAAAAAAAAATAAAACAGAATACAAAAGAAAAGAATAGAGGAAAACAGAACCAAATAGAATAGAAAATAAAGGAATAGAATAGAAAATAATAAAATAGAAAAGAACAGTATAGAAAAGATTAGAATAGAAAATAATGGAATAGAATAAAAAAAAATGGAATTGAACAGAATGAAATAGCAATAATATAACTCTCTTCCGAAATTCAAATGTCAAATAGAATGAATTTAAATACAATACAGTAGAATAGAATATAAAATAATAGAGTAGAATAGAAAAGAATAGAATATAAAAGAATAAAGGAAAAAGGAACAAAATAGAAAATAAAATAAAAGAATAGAACAGAATTCAAAACAAAAGAATAGAATAAAAAAGAATAAAGCAAAACAGAACAGCATAGAATAGAAAATATAGGAATAGAATAGAAAAGAATAGAATACATTAGAATAGAATAGAAAATAATAGAAAAGAATAGAGGAAAACAGAACAAAATATAAAAATAAAGGAATATAATAAAAAGAATATAATAGAAAAGAATGTAATAGAATAGAAAAACAATACAACAGATTAGAATGAAATAGAAAGAATATAACTGTCTTCTGAAATTCAAACTTCAAATAGATAATAGAATGAATTGGAATTTGAATAGAATACATTAGAATAGAATACAAAATAACAGAATAGAATGGAAAAGAGTAAAATGCAAAAGAACAGAGGAAAAAAGAACAGAATAGAAAAAAAAGAATAAAAAAGAATTCAAAACAAAAGATTAGAAAAGAAAAAATAAAGTAAAACAGAACAAAATAGAATAGAAAATATAGGAATAAAGTAGAATATAATAGAAAATATTAGAATAGAATAGATTAGAATAGAGAAGATTACAACAGAAAATCAAAAAGTAAAAAGGAAAAGAATAGAAAATAATGGAATAGAATAAAATAGAAAGAATATAATTTAAAAAAAAATGTCAAATTCAAATAGAATACATTAGAATAGAATAAAAAAAATAGACTAAAATAGAATAGAATAAAATAGAAAAGAATAGAATAGAAAAGAATAGACTACTTTACAAAACAATAAAAGTTGTGAGCTGCATTATGGTGATGTGAGTGGTGACCAACAGAGGCACTGTGAAAATATTGTTGAAAAATAGAACGTTCTAATATGGTCACTCAACTCTTCATATAGCCCATATACCATCAAAACCACATATGAATTGTGGATTATGAGTTGTAATGTTAGATTTATTATCAAATCCGTTAGAATTATTAAATTTGGTCCAATTCTAATAAAGTGATAGGAACCTAATTCTGAAAACAAATTAAATGAATTTAATGAATCGAACGAAAGGAAGTTAGTCAAGTAACGAATCAAAATTAAACAAAACAAAACACATTTTTTAGTTTTGCACATGTCTAGTAGAGATAAAGACATCAAGAAAAATCGGAGAAGGTTTCTAACCTTTATCCACTTGACTTAACCGCCTCCCACCCTCCATATAGTAATATGACGGACGCAAGGCGGTTCTCTCGTTCTGGGAGGACGTCATATGATGTCCTCCCATTCTCACCGTGCATGCACAGCTCAGGGAGCACACAGGGCGGCTATCGGCGATGCGCTATGTCCCTCGGACACAGCGGATCACCAATCACAGAAAGAGCTGAAGATGTTGGCTCGGTCATGTGATCAGCTGTGTCCAATTGCAGCTGATCACATGTAAACAGGGAAATGCCGGTTATCGGAATTTCTCTCCTCTCGAGCTGTCACACTGACAGCTCGTGAGGAGAGGAGAGCCGGTAATCGGCTTTCCGCAGAGGGGACATGTACACTGATCATCAGGGCACTGATAATCAGTGTGCCCTGATGATCAGTGTAGCCCCAGCAGTGCCACCTGTCAGTGTCCATCGGTGCCATATGTCAGTGCTCATCAGTGCCTCGTGCCAGTGCCCATCAGTGCCACATCAATGCCACATATCAGTGCCTACCAGTGCACATCAATGCCACATAGCAGTGCCCCTCTGAGCTGCCTTTCAGTGTCACCCATCAGTGCCCGTCAGTGCCACCTATAAATGCCAATCAGTGCCACCTATCAGTGCTGCCAATCAGTGCCACCTATCAGTGCCAGTCAGTGCTGCCTATCAGTGCCAGTCAGTGCTGCCTATCAGTGCGCATCAGTGCCGCCTATCAGTGCCTGTCAGTGCTGCCTATCAGTGGAAGTCAGTGCCGCCTACCAGTGCCAGTCAGTGCCGCCTACCAGTGCCAGTCAGTGCCGCCTAACAGTGCCGCCTATCCATTGCTATATCAGTGCCATGTATCAGTGCCATGTATCAGTGCTGCCTTTCAGTGCCCATCAGTGATGCCTGTCAATGCCCATCAGTGCCACCTACCAGTGCCTCCTCATCAGTGCCCATCAGTGCCACCTATCAGTGTCCATCAGTGCAGCCTATCAGTGCCCATCACTGGAGCCTCATTAGCGCACATCAGTGAAGGAGAAAAATCACTTATTTACAAAATTTTATAACAAAAACTAAGAAAATACTTTTTTTTTTTTAATTTTCAATGGTTTTTTAAGAAAAAATTAAAAACCCAGAGGTGATTAAATACCACCAAAATAAAGCTCTATCTGTCACAAAAAAATGATAAAAATTTCATATGGGTACAGTGTTGCATGACCGTGCAATTGTCATTCAAAATGCGACAGCCCTGAAAGCTGGAAATTGGCCTGGGCAGGAAGGGGGTAGAAGTGCCATGTAGGCTAGTGCTTAAAACTAGAAGAAGTTTTAACTGAAGTTCTACTTCAAAAACCATCATGACTTTACGGAGCTAATAAATCAACACATATCTAGTCAGTGAATTTGTTGAATTTCAACCTCCTAGGGTAGCAATCAGACTTTGCAGACACTCAACCACAAAATATTGTTCACACAAAGATGTACTGTTTAAACACCATAATTTCATCTTCTCTGTAGAAGTCTCAAGGGCAGAGAAGGGCTTGGGACATAAGGACCATTTGATCAACTAAATTCCCAATTTCCTGTATTCCTGTGACTTCTCACGTTTCTTTTCTTAGCCCCACAGGAAGTTTTAGAATGGTCACAAATTTTCAAATACAAGGCAAAACTCCTGCCTGTAGGAAATAATGATTCTGGCACCATGAGGTTCTAGATAAAATGCTATGGGTGTTAAACAGTGATTTGTCCCCTGCACTGCCTAATTCAAAAGTGTTCTTGGGCTTGACTACAAGTGAATTAAATGCTGTTTTTCCCTTTTGCTCCACATGTTTCTTGGTCAGCAGCACCGAGTTTATTTGAGATGGATTAAGCTGTCAATTCATTTTCCTAACAAGAGGTCTAGATTGCAATTCAGAGAACCCACCAGAGAGTAAGGGAGGGCTCAGATGCCCCACGGTTACCTTGATGAGGGAAGCTGTTCCAGTAATGTCCTAAAACTCTGCAAACTAAAATTGATGTGAGGCAGGATGATGATTTTGAGAAATATATGTCTGTGAAAGTACTGCAGAGGGAAAAAAAAAAGATAGAGAAGCAGAATAATTTAGGATCCAATTTTAAGCTCAGCTCTTGGGATCTAGGTATGTATATCTGCAAGGCTATCATAGTTTTAAAACATTGTGGAAAACAGGTAGGTTGACACATTTAAAAGCAACACACTACAATATTTCAAACAAAGGATTTCCCAGCACACTTACCAGCCAGCCTGCAAAACAACCAAAGTGGCCCTGCCTGACAGTTTCCATTAAAAGCAGAGGGCTTTGTTTGCACACATTTGCAATTACATGTATAAGCTGTAATCCGGCGTCAAAGGGCCTCTGTATACTACGGTCCTAACTCTAAAATTTTCAGAACCTCCACAGCGGGAGCACATATATCAATGGATAGGTTAAGGACAGGTGTTCCTGGGGGGTGCAAAAGCACAGGGACGCATGTGACGCCCATGTAGCCGAATGACAGCAAAGGCATCCAGTGTGTCCCTGCACTCAATTCAGCCAACTGTACAAAGAAATGGCAAGTGTCCCAACCTATAACCAGCCTTAGCAGTAAGGTGCACATGGAAGGGCAATGCACATAACAAACAAAGGATTTCCCAGCAACGCGTACCAGCCAGCCTGCAAACAACCAATGTGGCCCTGTCTAACAGTTTGCATTAACTAGTAGCCGACCGCAGATAGCCGAATGACGGCTGCACTGCGGCCGGCCAGTTCTGAGTGGACGTCATATGACGTCCCCCCAGAACGCGCTCTCCTGCGCGCCCCAGGGGGCGCGGACACGGCGATCTCCATGATCGCAGTGTCCTACGGACACAGCTGATCACGTGATGTGGTAAAAGGCCAATCACAGCGGCCTTTTACCACGTGATCAGCGGTGTCCAATGACACGCTGAACAGAGGGAAATGCAAGTGCCGGTTCTCGGCTGCACTTTCCTCACGCTGTCAGATCGTGAGGAAAGTACTGCCGAGAACTGGCAGTTGTCAGAGCGAGGATCGGCACCGATCATCAGGGCACTGATGATCAGTCCCCTGATGATCGGTGCCCAGCAGTGCCACCCGCAAGTTCCGCCCACCTGTGCCCAGCAGTGCTCCCAGCAGTGCGCCCACTAACTCCGCCCACCTGTGCCCAGCAGATCACCCACCTGTGCCCAGCAGTGCATCCACCTGTGCCACTCTGCAGTGTCACACACCTGTGCCCAGAAGTGCCACCTACCTGTGCCCAGCAGTGCCACCTACCTGTGCCCACCCACCTGTGCCCACCAGTGCCACTCACCTGTGCCCACCAGTGCCACCCACCTGTGCCCACCCACCAGTGCTGCCCACCAGTGCCACCCACCAGTGCAACCCAGCAGTGCTGCCAGTCAGTGCCACCAGTCAGTGCCCAGCGGTTGTGCCAGTCAGTGCAGCCAGTCAGTGCCCAGCAGTGATGCCAGTCAGTGCCGTCTATCAGTACCCATCATCAGTGTCACCTATCAGTGCCGCCTATCAGTGCTGCATATTAGTGCCGCCTATCCGTGACACCTCATTAGTGCTCTCTATCAGTGCCGCCTATCCGTGCCACCTCATTAGTACTGCCTATCTGTGCCCTTTAGTGCTGCCTATCAGTGCCCATCAGTGCCGCCTATCAGTGCCCATCAGTGCTGCCTCACCAACGCACATCAGTGAAGGAGAAAAATTACCTGTTTGAAAAATTTTATAATAGAAACAAAGAAACTTTTTTTTTTTTTTCAAATTTTTGCACCTTTTTTATTTATAGCGCAAAAAGTAAAGTGCCCAGTGGCAATTAAATACCACCAAAAGAAAGCTCTATTTGTGAGAAAAAAATGATCAAAATTTCATATGGGTACAATGTTGCATGACCGCGCAATTGTCAATCAAAGTGCGGCAGCGCTGAAAGCTGAAAATTGGCCTGGTAAATAAGGGGGTATAAGTGCCTTGTAGGCAAGTGGTTAAAAACAGAGGGTTTTGTTTGCACACATTTGCAAATACTTGCAGAACCTGCAGCCCCTCGTCAAGAGGCCTCTCTATAATACGATCCTAACTTTAAAATTCCCACAACCTTCACAGTGGGAGCACGTAAATAAATGGATAGGTTAAGGGCAGGGATACCTGGAGGGTGCCCACCCCTCCTTAAAGGTACAGGGACGCATGTGACGTCCAGCTAATAGAATGGATCAAATTTTAAGGTCAGCTCCTGGGATCTAGGGATGTACATTTGCAAGGCTATCATAGTTTTAAAGCATTATATTTAAAATTGTATTTAAAATATTTTAAATCCATATGCTGCTAGTATTAGTAAATTGATAGGAAAGTATATTGTATTTACTTATTTTAAACTTTTTTTTATGTTTCTTCAGAAACTTCCTGGTTCTTATGCCTAGGCAAATTATGTCATTCATCCCAGGAGTCTTCAGGAGGGGAGGAAAGGTTTTCTCTGCTAAGAAAACCCTCCTGTTTGATTGGCTAAGCTAAGGGCAGATTCCAGGAAGTAAATGGTAGATGAATTATCTGACCATACTCAAGATGGCCACTGCAAGAAATGCTAGGGGGTGATTTCTCAGCAAAAGAAAGCCTGGAGATATGTGTGATGGAAGTGTTTGCTTTGAATATTACAAATGACTAAATAGCATTTTGTGGTGCTTAGATGTCACGTAGTTCTGCTTTATCTTGAGTTTATTTAAATGTGCTAAATAAAACTTAATGCTAGGCATACAGCTGAATACAGAGATGAAATACATATATTGGAGCTGTTAAAATTGCCAAAAGATTTGTATTTTGGTTCATCCAGTTCTGAGATATACACTACACTGTCACACAGCACAAAAAGGCAGATGGCAGCAATTCCTCTATTACAGTGTGCAGATGGAATTCAGCGGTGTCCTCTACCTTACTTCCAGCCCAAGTTGATTAGAGACACTATGCACCACTAGCTCAACAGGTGAAGAGGAATGTGAATAGCCTCAGCCTTGACCTCCTCCCAAGTCAGCACAAGTCTGAACATTGGAGGAGAGTAGGCTGAAAACACTACAGATAGAGAGCTGAAAACATTTTGCTCTCCTGCCTAGTGTGGTCAGTTTTTAACAGGAAAGCAGAGGGACTAGCCGGAACACCAAGGATTTTACACAAAGGAGACAATACAAAGAGAACAAGATACCTTTTCATACAAGTACATGGTACAGGAATACAAAATGTTGGGTTTACATACTCTTTAAGGATTTGGTATAGATTTTCAGGGGGACCTCACATTTTTTTCCACGAAGTACCCCATTAAAATCAGAAATCAGACTTATGGTCCTGGTATGCATTTTCTTTTTTGGAGGGGACTCTGCAAACTTTTTTTTTTTTCATTCTTACTGTACGATGTGCTACAGCAAGAGACATTTCTAAAGAAAATTAATTAATTTGTTTAAATTGCTGCCAAATAAACCTGAATGCACAAAAATGCATAAATTGGCCCACGAGATTGCCAATCACTTCAAAAACAAGAACGACACAATTCGCAGGGACATCGCCGCTGCTCAGACTTCCACCCACCTATCACCCTTCACACGGAAACCCCCTCAACACCCCTCTCCCTCGACCTCACCACTGTCCAGAACTCCACCCCACCTAACATCCCTCACACTGAAGCCCCCTCAACACTCTACTCCTTCGACCTTACTACCACTGAGGAGGTCACTAAAATTTTCTCTGAAGCCCGCCTCACCACCTGCCCCCTGCCCCCCCCTCGACCCTGTCACCTCACAACTCCTACGATCTCCCTCCTCCTCCATCCTAAGCTCCCTCACCCACATCTTTAATCTCTCCCTCTCTTCTGGCGCATTCCCCTACCCTCTGAAGCACGCTGCCATTTACATCCAAACTCCTTGAGCGCTTAGTCTATAATCGCCTAAGCTCCCACCTCAACGACAACAACCTCCTCGATCCCCTACAGTCTGGCTTCCGTCCCCTACACTCCACCGATACTGCCTTACTCAAACTCACCAACGACCTGCTAACCGCCAAAGCTAATGGCCACTATTCAGTGCTGCTACTCCTCGACCTCTCTGCAGTTTTCGACACAGTTGACCACCCCCTCCTCCTCAAAAAACTACACTCCCTTGGCCTCAGAGACTCCGCTCTCTCCTGGCTCTCGTCCTACCTTTCACAATGCTCCTTCAGTGTTACCTATAACGCTACCACCTCCCCCTCACTCCCCTTCTCTGTTCAGGTCCCTCAAGGCTCTCTCCTCGGGCCCCTTCTCTTCTCCATCTACACCTCCTCCCTTGGCCAACTGATACACTCTCACGGCTTCAACTACCACCTCTATGTCGATGACACGCAAATCTATCTCTCGACCCCTCGCCTCACCCTTTCAGTCTCCGCTCGAATCACTAGCCTACTGAACGACATATCGGATTGGATGTCACTCCACTTCCTCAAACTGAACCTTTCCAAAACCGAGCTCCTAGTTTTCCCCCCAGCCCACCCCCCCCCCCCCCGACTTCTCCATCACGACCAACAATGCTACCATCAGTCCCACCCCGCAAGCCAGAGTACTTGGTGTCATTCTAGACTCCAATCTGTCCTTCCAGCCCCAGGTCCAATCACTGACAAACTCATGTAGACTCCACCTCCACAACATCTCCAAAATACGTCCATTCCTAACCCCGGAAACTACTAAGCAGCTCATCCACTCCCTTATCATATCACGAGTTGACTACTGCAACTCCCTCCTCACTGGCTTACCTCACCACAGGCTATGTCCGCTTCAGTCGATCCTGAATCCACCTTACCGCCACCCCCCTCTGCCAATCCCTCCACTGGCTTCCGATTGCCCAACGAATCAAATTCAAAATGCTAAAACTGACGTACAAAGCTGTCCATAACACTGCCCCAAACTACATCACTGACCTGATATCCAAATACCACCCAAAATGTACTCTCCGCTCCTCACAAGACCTCCTTCTCTCTAGTTCCCTGGTCTCCTCAACCCATGTCTGCCTCCAGGACTTCTCTAGGGCCTCACCCATCCTCTGGAACTCCCTACCCCAATCTATCCAACTATCACCTACTCTCCTCTCCTTTAGGCGCACCCTGAAAACCCACCTCTTCAGGGAAGCCTACCCTGCCTTCTGCTAACTGCTGATCTCTTCCACTCTTCCTACCACTCCATCCCCCACAGCTATTCCTCCCGTACTACTATCACCTCCCTCCTAAATTGTAAGCTCCAATGAGCAGGGCCCTCAAACCCCTCGTGTATCGCATTGTATTGTTATTGTGCTGTCTCATGTATTGTCTCCCATTGTAATGTACAGCGCTGAGCGAACTGTTGGCGTTATATAAATACTGTATAATAATATTAAATAATAATAAAATGCATAAATGTTAGCATACTCATTTTAGAGTGAGTGAAAAAAATGCACTGGAATGCATTACAAATGCATTAAAAATGCATGTAAATGTGTATGTGGAAGCGCACACTAACTGCAGGGCTTGAGGTATGAACTAGTTTATAATATTTTTTTTTAATTCAGAGCTACGTTATTATTATTATTAATATTATACAGGATTTATAAAGCGCCAACAGTTTGTGCAGCGCTTTACAAAATGAATGTGAATATTTTATGTTTGCCTGAAGTTCTGCTTCAAGCCACCTCTAAGGCCTCTTTTTTTACAAACTGAACATACCCAGTTTTGTAAGATTTTACTGTATTCAAGCTTTTCCATCTCTTTATTGATTTAGCTGCCCATCTCTAAACCCCATCTAACAAAGCCTATGTCCTTTTTAAAAGCATAAAAAATAAAATATCCTATTAATGGCACATCCTGGGTAGTAGATGAAATGCAACAAATATGTGTATGTTGCATTCCACATTCATTTCATCAGAAATGTCAGCTGTAAAATTTTTATTTTCCACCCTTTATTTGAAATGCCATGGCATGAACTATGACACAGTAACATGGCAGTCATGGTTCACAGATACACAGAAGGGTGCTAAAAGCACATTGCAAATTCTAGTAAAGTTCATCAAAGTTCATATTTGCCTATATATGATGGGAACTTAATATAGGCATTAAAAAACTTAGTGTTGAGGATTCTATCCAGGCATATATAGTAAGCATAACCCAAGCATAGGCTGTGAGTGGGAGGAAAAAAAAGCCATGGAATACAAAGAACACTATACATTTATTTTTTGTATGACAGTTAGAGATAATGATAAAGAGAAAGAAAGAGAGAAAGAAAAAAAAGAAAAGAAAAGAAAACACATTTCCCAAGATCTCCTGCTCTCTAGCTCAATTGTCACCTCCTCCCATGCTGTCCTTTAGGACTTTTCCGGAGGCTCTCCCATCCGATGCAACTCCCTGCCCCAATCTGTCTGGCTACCTCCTACTCTGTCCACTTTAAGCGTTCCTTGCAAAACCCTTCTCTTCAGAGAAGCCTATCTCGCCTTCACCTAACAAACTGTA